CCCCCTCTCGCTCACCTCTCGTGTTCGCGTGCCTTGCGTGCGGCCTGCTCCCCTGAGCTGGTCGATCCCAGACTATCGCTGCTGCCCTCCCCTCCTCCTCTCTCTCCTCCTCCTCCTCCTCCTCCTCCTCCTCTCGCTCACCTCTCGTGTTCGCGTGCCTTGCGTGCGGCCTGCTCCCCTGAGCTGGTCGATCCCAGACTATCGCTGCTGCCCTCCCCTCCTCCCCTCTCCTCCTCCTCCTCCTCCTCCTCCCCCTCTCGCTCACCTCTCGTGTTCGCGTGCCTTGCGCGCGGCCTGCTCCCCGGAGCTGGTCGATCCCAGACTGTCGCTGCTGGTCTCGCTGCTGCCGGACACGCTGCCCGGCCCCTGGCTGTGCTTCGGCCACGAGCGGCGCACGAGCGTGGGACTGTTGTCGCTGGACGTCGTCTCCGGAGCCGAGCTGTCGACCGCCGCCATGCCTGCGCGAGGACGACGACACCAGGGGTCAGCACTGTGGTAGGCGTGCGTGTGTGGTGGGAGGGGGGGGGGCGTTGTAAAGAAGGGGGGGTAATATGGCATTGATATATGTGGCCTATATGTATATGTGGCATATTATATGGGGGTAGTATAACATGGAATGGAAGGTAGTATAACATGGAATGGAAGGTAGTATAACATAATATGGGGGTAGTGTAATATGGGAAGGGTAATACATCATGGTATGGAGACAATAAAACATAGCAGGAGCCAATAAAGCATTGTATGGGGCATTATAGTATAGTATGGGGGCATTATAGTATAGTATGGGGGCATTATAGTATAGTATGGGGACAGTATAGTATAGTATGGGGGCATTATAGTATAGTATGGGGGCAGTATAGTATAGTATGGGGGCATTATAGTATAGTATGGGGGTATTATAGTATAGTATGGGGGCAGTATAGTATAGTATGGGGGCAGTATAGTATAGTATGGGGGATTATAGTATAGTATGGGGGCATTATAGTATAGTATGGGGGTATTATAGTATAGTATAAGGGCAGTATAGTATAGTATGGGGGCAGTATAGTATAGTATGGGGGCATTATAGTATAGTATGGGGGCATTATAGTATAGTATGGGGGTATTATAGTATAGTATAGGGGCAGTATAGTATAGTATGGGGGCAGTATAGTATAGTATGGGGGCATTATAGTATAGTATGGGGGCATTATAGTATAGTATGGGGGTATTA